CTCTCTCTCTCTCTCGCGCGCGCGCGCGTCGCGACTGGCCTCTTGGTACTGCGCCCTCCATAGGATGAGCAAAATCGAATGAATCTGGTGCTATAGCCTGGGATTATACACTGCCATACTTTTTTTCGTTTTTTTTTTTCGTTTTTTTTTTCGTTTTTTTTTTTCCGTTTTTTTTTGTTCGTTTTACTCCAACGTTCGGGATGCCTGCGCCCGGTAGTCCGAGCCTCGGCACGGATCGGCGTATCGGTCGGCCGAGGCTCGGACTCGATATCTGGGCCAGGTACTGGTGGTTTAATACACATGCATTGCCCCTTCCATGCATTGCTCGGAGAAGCCAAGTCATATGGCTCAGTAGAGTCAGTACTTCATTCCATGAGACTGTTATCTATAAATTAGGGCAATCCCACTAGGCAAGGGTACAGTTAGATCATTGCCATTCCCAATGATTTTTTCTTCCCCYCCCYCCYCCCCCCCCCGCCTGCACCTGCACCTAAAGTGTTATGCAGTTCTTTCTTTAAATGTCCCCTCCACAACAAACATATTTTGCAGTAACCTGTGCTCAACGCAGGTTGTAGTTCCAAAAAATCCTCATATGTAACACAAGGGTCTCGTTAGACACTCCTAAACGAATCCTAAAATTTTTAGGACGAGTCCTTAAGGTTTTTTAGGATTTCGTGCGGCGTTGTTACACGCAGTCCTAAAAATCATCTTTTAGGACACGTCCCATGGCCCGTTTTCATACGCGTATACGCAGCCGCGTCGCCGATGTCCGTCCATTCCTGGCCGGTGTCCGTGGTACAGACTGCGGTGGCCCTTGGGAGGGCGCCGACGGATCGGTGAAAAGCGCGGTTCCCCAGAACTTCAAAATTTCGAATTCAAATTCTCGTGGACGCAGGGTGGCTGGGCGGCGGGCGGCCAGGCGACACGTTTGACGTGAAAAGACGGCGCCTCCCTACCATTTGGTGCGCGAAATCCATCTTCCGAGTGTACGCAACTTGTGAGCAGCGGGCGCATCATCGTGTGAGGCGCACGTTCACCTCCGGCGTGCGTACCGTCCTTTAGAAGCGCGGAGCAGCGGGCGCGTCTTCGTCTCCTGTGCCAGCGTACGGCAGCGCTCGCATTTTCGGCTCCGGCGTGCTTTGTCTACGACGGCAGGGTTCCGCAGCGGGCGTGTCTAAGGCGGCTGTCGCAGGCGTGATGCGGCAAACCGTGCGAAGATTGCCAGAGATGGACAGTCACGGCTGCCGAAACGGTCTTCGCGAAGAAGAGATCGACGCCGTGGTGATGGCGGTGACTGTCGTCGTCGTCAAGACGATGGGCGACATGGAGTCCTCCTCGCACGACATGCTGATGCAGTTCCGCCAATGAGCGTTGCCGAGGCGCCGTATTGCGTGGCGACGTATGAGGCAGTCGTCCAGTTGTGTGCCGCACTGTCGTCTGGCGTTTTCCCGCGGCAGACTCCGCGGTGGTGGATTAGACGACGGACTGGCGGAACATGGGAGGACCTCCGGCTTCGTGACGACGCGACGAAAGAGTACTCCTGGCAGAAGCTGCGCATGTCGACGGCCATGTTCACCCAGATCGTAGCCGCGTGCGCCGCGTACATGGAGAAGAAGGTGACGCACTATCGAATGCCATTGCCAGTGGAGCAGGTGATTGCTTTCACGTTATACAGGTGGGCGTCCGTAGAGACGTATGAGAGCGGCACGTCAGACTTCGGCATCGCCAAGGCAACTGGACTGCAGGCCATCTGCGACGTCACTTCGGCACTGTTGCAGGCGTACCCCGACGCGATAAAGTGGCCAGTGGGCAGGAGATGTGCGCAGATTTTGCGCGCTTTCCGTAACAAGGGTTTCCCAAACTGCTTCGGCGCTATCGATTGTACACACATCTACATTGACAAGCCCGCCGGCGCACCTTCCGACAACTACTACGACCGCAAACAGAAGTTCTCCGTGCAGGCGCAGGTGGTTGTGGATTTGGATCTGCGGATCCTCGACGTCCACGTAGGATACCCGGGAAGTGTGCACGATGTTTGTGTCCTGCACAATTCCCAGTTGTGGAGGCGTGCAAAAAGTGGCGAGTTGTTCGACGCAACTCCGGAGAATCTGCCGCACGGTGTCGTCACGCGAGGCTACCTGTAGGGCGACAACGGTCATCCACTTGCCTGTCCGTGGATCGTGCAGCCGTACGGAGGAATCGAGCAAGGTGCTGACGAGAAGTGCTTCGACACGCGGCAAAAGGTGGCACGGGGGTGTGTGGAGAGGGCATTCAACCGACTCAAGTGCATGTGGCGTCTGTTCTTGCGCACCCATAAAACGAACCTGGAGACCTTGCCACAGCAATTCGTGACTGTCTGCACTCTCCACAATATCCTCCTGGACGCGGGGATTGACTTCGACGAGAACCTTTTGTGGAAGGTGGATGCGAACGGCGTTCGGCATAGAGTGGACTTGGGCATTGTGGGGAATGACGCACGCGGGCGGGGACGGTGCACAAACGTGGAAGGGGAAATGTTGAGGGATGCACTGCGAGACCGCCTAACTTTGATGTAGGACCGTGCGGTTGGGAGGGCGGGGGGGGGGGGGGGTTGTAGCACATGGGGTGGTGCACATGAGGTGGTTCGATCGGTAGGCGGCTGGAGTTATGACATGGTCCCTGTCCATGGTCGTCGTGCGCGTGCTTGGTGGGTTGATGGAATGGCGGCATGGGTGTCGCCGACGAGTTCACATTATCGTTTTCATGGTGTTGACGGCTACCTGGTTCGCACAGCTGTGCGAAATTTTAAGATTGGAAGAACCTTTTTTTTTGTGAGTGTGTGTCCTCGTAATTACGACTTGTGTTTTTTTATATATATTTTTCTGTCTTCAAATCGTTTCTAATCAATGGTCTCATGCAGTGGGAAGCTTGGTTGTTTTTGTCTTTTCTCGCTGTCCATCTGTAGAAATTATTGTTTATGTTTATTGGTTTTTCGTGCGTATCTTCATTTCAGTTTTCATGACTGGTTTCGTGTGCTGGTGTGGTGGGATGACATGTGCAACCTGATTCTGTAGCATCCTGACATGCATTCCGTGAATACATGATCAACGCATGTCTCTTGCATGTCGTGAAGCCAATGTGAAGAACAAGAACAAATGAAACGCAAACAAGGACACGACATGACACGCACGACAGTTGTGTCCCACAAAAGACATGATGACATTCCTCACACCAACATACGACAAAATCATGACACGCATCGTCAAAACAAATACACACATTAACCGCCATGCGGTTTAAATCGTCCGAAACAACGAGGAGTAACATGCACTGATAAAACAACCAGGTGCGCTAAACGCAAAAAAAAAAAAAGTAAAAAAAAAGGTGCAAATCATTCATCCCGTGCTGACGCGATGGGCGACACACTACACAGCTACACAACCATCGAAGATTCTGGCGAATCCCTCCGACCAACAAGCTAACCACCAACACCACAGTTACACAATCGAAATCGATCAACCCGTGCTTATCCCACGGGCGCAACAGTAAACCTGTGCACAATGATGAAGGAGGATTCTGGCGAATCCCGGCGACCAACACGCTAAGCAGGTGCGCCATGCACGACAGTCCAATCACATGACAGCCCGTCATGTCTCGCCATGCATACATGCGCCTTGCGGCCTTCGTTCTTACAAGCGAAGTCTCCCCGCTCTACCCCCGCACACCCGCTCGCCTTATGCGTCGTCTTTTCCTTCGCCTTTGTTGTCATCATCGGGGGGGCCCGAACCCAACCAATCCAGCCTCTTCGCATCCTCCGGCCCCTTGATGCTCGCGTCGTGCGCAAATCCGATGCTGCATGGTCCCCAATCAGGGATGTAGTCGGGGTACACTCCGAGCGTGGCTTTCACCTTCCCAAGCCTCTCCGTGACGACGTTCGTGGCGCGGACGACGGATCGTCGATGATCGAAGGAGCGATGCATGGAGGCGACTAGTGTCGGCCTGGCGACGAGATCCGCGAAGTAAAATGCTTCGTAATGGCTGCGAGGATCGTCTCCCGCCATGCGCATAATGCACATGGATGCCGCCAGCAACAGCCTGAAGCATTCAGCCACCCGACATAGACGCTTGTAGGAGACGAAATCGCCGTCGATGTGAGCGCCCATTTGCACCGTCGCGCAGAATGAATGCGCGATGGCGATGACGATGGACTCCTGGTGCGCCGCCATGTCGTCGTCCTCAGGTCTGTCCTCGATATTCGTGTCGGCGTACCACAATGGAAGGTCCACACTCAGATCTATCGTCTGGGCGCAGATCGCCGCACTGACGACGTTGCACCACTCCTCGCCGTACCACATTGCACACGCAATGTCCGTTGCTACGGTCTCCAACGAGTACTGGAAAGCAAGGTGTTACCCCCTTGGGCGGTTCCCGGACTTGAAAACCCAGTCGTGCAAGCTGCGCAGAGCTATATTCTCCACCGCCGCCGCACGGGAGATCGCTTGCTGGAGTTGTGATTGGTCGGAGATCCTCGCCACCCTAGTGCTGGATTTGGGGAGGACAACGCTCCGTGGAAGGTCAGGTGGCGGAAGGCCGCTGGCAATGGCGACGAAGTACTCTTTGGTTTCGTGGACGATGTTGTAAAGTCTGCGACCTTCACTCGTCAACCAGAAAGCTTTGTCATCCACCCAAAGCAGGGCACGGTCGATGAGCTTTTTCGTCATGACTCCCCTGCGTGCCCGGCTTGAAGCGGCCTCGCCGCCATCCCGTTCGTTTTTGTTATGTCCATGACCCTCCTCTCTCACCATCGCCAGAACTGCAGCCTCCTCTCTCGCCGCCGGAACGGGAGCCATAACATCTACAACACCCACACCCACGCCACCTGCCGCCTCGCCCCCTCCTGCTTGCGCGTCTGCCACGACTCCCCGCCCCCCACCATGTTGGACAGACGCACCGTCATTGCGCTGACGTGGCTGAGACGGCGTGCTGGGCAGTGTACCTGGGGTCGGCCTTTTGTCCGCCGCAGCACGAGCCGTTGACACCACCGCTGCGGTCGATTGTGTTGCAGTGCGCAGGCGACATTTTTCCAAAGGTTCGTCGTCATCGCTGCCAACGTCCACCACATCACCCTTCTTTTTCAACGTTTCACAACCACGCAGCTGCTGCGCCTCCGGCGCCTCCGGCGCCTCCGGCGGAGGGGTAAACATCCTCTTCGAAGTGCTCTGATCTGAAGAACGCTGCCTAACACTCTCCCATGCTGCGGACGCTGTCGCCTTGCCTTGCTCGTCCTCCATCGTGAAATCGTCGGCGTTGTCCTCTTCCGCGGCCTGCGCCCAACCTTGCGCCCCACGACGTGGCACGCTTGCTGACGCATCATCCAAACGAAGCCTCTTCGCCTTTGGGACGTGCCGCCGACCTTTTCCCTGGGCTTGGCTTTCGTCAACCGCGACGTCKCGCTTCTTGCCACGGACGTTCAATCGCGCAGATATGCTTGCTGGGGACCTCTACAGGCGATCTCGGCGGAGCGGTCGGCTGACGTGTACAGTTTCGTCGATAAAGATGTCACCCGTCTCTTCCCAGCTTGGCGAGAACTACTACCCTGACAACGCTCAAGATGTGTCCTCCGCTACAGCAAGACGACGACGCGCAAGCGCACCACGGAAGGATGACGACCCCGGCGACACCTCTCCTTGGCGGGAACCACGACGGCGAGCAAATCAGAACAGCGATGGCGGGAGCGCTCCATGGCGAGAAGAATGACGTCTGACGGCGACGAGTGCGACAGAAGAACAACCATGAACCTGGAAGCGCGCCGCGGCGAGAAGATTGACTGCGAGAAGAGCGGAACCGATGACAGTGAGAGCGGCCCGCTGCCTGCGTTGTGACGGCCGAAGTCCACGTCACGAGATGTCTGCAATGGTGACGACGGTGGTCCTCGAAGGCTTTGGACATGGAAGCGTGGAGGAGGCCACAATTATCCCCGGCGAGAAGCGTTGTGCTACTGCAGATGCGTGGCGGGAAGCTATGTTGCACGCCCGGCTGCGGCCTCGGTCGACGGCCTAAATCGGCCAGGTTCGGCCTCGGCGGACCTGCCAATTTTGGTGCAGGATTTTTTTTTTTTTTTTTAACCCATGAAAAAAAAAAAAAAGGGTGTGTAGGGCTCAAAAAAACCTACACACCCATATTTTTTTGGGGGGCATTGTTGTTTTCTATTGCGCAACAAAAAATAAAAACGGAAAAAAAAAACAAAAAAAAAAACCGCTTTGAAACCCTTGTGCAAGTATGTGTGTGTGTGTGTGTGTGTGTGTGATCGGGCGGGGGTAGGGGGGGCGACCCCTCCCCCAGCAATCAATAAATCAATCAATCAAT